AATAGGTCATTACTTGCCTCCTATTTGTCTTTCAGAGAGGTACGGACATCATAATTCAAAGTGCTCGCACCGTACTTACCGCCTCCAAAATTAATCCTGAGCCCTTTAACAAATATTACCATGTTCACTCTCTAACAATACATCAAATCTGAAAAATCACGCGCTTTTACATAATTCCATCTGACACGTGACTGCTTGACTGAAATCTTTGAAGCTGAGCCCATTAGTGTGAAATACGGTACGTGGCAATATCATCACTCTATTGAAATCTCCCAGTTCAGGCTGACAAATTTCCTTACCACGTAATTATTATTATTATTATTATTATTATTATTATTATTATTATTGGTATTAGCAGTCATAGTTTATTCAATGAGTCATACATCGCCAGGGAAATGGAAGGTAATCAGATATGATAAACGAAGGAGAGGACAGCTCTAATTCCTTGAATCACGAGCCTTTCACTAGCATCAGTGCCTCTTCTTTAAACAGTACCACATGTAAAGAACCTATTCTGTGTGCTAGAATATGATAGGTAAACATAGCTAACTTTTATTCTCACAATGTGACAAATATATACCTAGTAGGCTAGCAACACAATAATGAGACTCACACATGCCCGGATAATGAAGGTCATAAGTAAGTTTATTCAGGTATACACAAATACAGTTACATAGAATTATCATACATAGCAGCATATGTGTAGAGAACCTAGGATAACCCAAAAAAGTCAGACAGTGCTTCACGCCCTCCTCTACCCCTTCCAGGGACTCCTCATAAATCTCATATCCACGCCAGACGGGACATCTTAACAGGTCGTCTTACATTTTTGCTTCATACCTCTCCTTTCACCACACTCATTGCTGCTTTATTCATACCTTATTCTCTGCTGAGTACTCACGCCTTATTTGTCTCAGACAATACATTTCCATTGCTATACATTCACCTCGTTTTAATCCGGTTTTTCTTTCTGCCCTGTTATCAGTTCCTGCATTTTTTTTCCTTAATGTATTCTACAATTTACTTCATCGTAAGTTTTCCATCTGCTGATACATTCAAATATCTAAATACAATTACCTCCTCCATACTCCTATTTTCGATCAACTCTCTAATTTTTCACTTTCTATACATCTAGTTATTCTTATCATCTTTCTCTTTTATTAAAAAGTGAATGCTAGAAGTCTTTCAGCATTCACTTTTAACTTTATCTGTCACACACCCTTTACTAAGTCATCCACCATCAGCTGTAGTCTATCTTCCGAATATCTCAAAAAAATGTGTCATTTTTAATAAACATCTGTCACAATTCCCACTTTATATCACAGTCTTCTTAACCCCCTAAAATAAGGATTACAGTAAACTCTGCGTGTATATCCACATATACACCTCTCGGTTTATAAAAGCTGTGATGGCTGTCCTGTCAGCCCTAGAACTTTAAGACACCTGCCCTAATTTTAACAATATTAATATTCAACACAACATAGCCTTATCTACACTTACCAACTGAAAGATTATCCAATTTTTTTTCTTACGGCAAGTGGATTTTAAAATTCGTCTCTCTTCAATACAAAATCGGCAGACAGGTCCTCGATGTTGCATATTTAAGTTAATGTTGGACGTTTGACAACAATGACACCACAGCTTATTTTACCCGTAACACTAGTTCTAGAAGCACTCTAGGTAATGAAAACTAGCACGACAGTCCAACGGTGCCATCAACTTTCAGGCACCAACAATTACACCACATATATAAACAACGAACTACGGAATAGTATGGAAATAGTCGCCAAAAAGTACAAAATGTCGCTTTGGCTGCAAGAGATGGCGGAGCCTGTTAGTCTGGTAATTTTGGCGCCATCTCATCAGCTGATCGACAAGTGCATCATCATTAGTATGAAATATTAAAATTTCTATCCTTTTTTTTTTTACGTAGTTCAGATAATCAGGTTTCATATAAATTATAAAAATGCGTTATTTTTCTTAAATATAACGTTAACTCTTCATTTTTTTACATGCAAATTATAGTTCGCACAATTAACTTTGCAAGCTCCTGATGATGCGTTGATTGCAACACGAAAGGCCTAGAGCTATCATTCTATCCCCCCCCCCCGTGATTGCTTTGCCTCCTGTCTACTCTTATTGAGTTCAAGCACTTCCCAAAATCGATTTCATGCCTCAGTCCTTACAAATGTTATCTTAGCGATAGAAGTAAATTATATCTTTAAAATGCTACAGATCTCTCTCTCTCTCCTCTCTCTCTCTCTCTCTCTCTCTCTCTCTCTCTCTCTCTCATCCCCAGGACGTAGCAAAATATACAGTGGGTTATAGAGTAATCAGGGATGTAATCACAAGGTTAATACCGCAGGCTTACAGCGTATCTGGCCGTGCAACATCTAAATACATTTTGGGGCGAGATATTTTGGATTTATTTTACACTTTAGCTTATATAATTCTGAAAAGCAACACAAGTTTTGTATCTTATTAAATATATTAAAATGTGTTTAATAAAATATAGGAATTTAATCAATTATATCTGGCCAATTTTCCAATACGCAGCACCAGCATGGAGCCCACACCTGACCAAGCAAGTCAGTTAACTGAAAAAAAGTGCAGAGGTTTGCAACGAGACTAAACCCTGAGCTAAAGAGGAATGAAGTATACAGTAGATTATATCGTAATTTCGACGGGATCAAAATGATCGCTATGGTTTATATGAACACTGCACAAGTCCTGCTTAAATACACAAATATTCTTCAGTGAACATGTTAATTAGTTCATTTGTGACAATTATTAGCATATGCTTCTCAAGGGTTAACTTGATAAACAATATAAGAGAATTGGAAAAGAGGGAAATAGATGAAATGTGATTGAAATTATAATTATTATTATCGTGGGAAGCGCTGAACATATTAAGGTCATACAACGTGAGGTGTAAAGAAGGAAATCAAATTTCATCCAAGGAAAACGATGATAGCTTCAATTCCGTGTATCAAGAGACCTTCGCCAGCATCAAGCCCCCCCCCCCGTTAAAAAGTCTTTAACGTTATTGAAAGGGTGACTTGCGACAAATGCATCATAGGTAACTTGTAGTTGGTAAAACTCACACTTAATACATCAGTGAACTAGATGATTTTTTTTCTTTCGTATCAAAGACGAAACTGATTTCAACAGGTGATGTGGGAAAGGAAGCCTTCCCTTGGAGGAGTGACCGTAGCTATGAGACGGTTTCAACAGGTGGTTTGAGTAAGGGAACCTTCCCTTGGAGGAGTGACCGTGGCTATGAGACGGTTTCAACGAGAGATTCTAGAAGGGTAACTATCCTTTAACTGTTTAACAGGTGAACGTGCCTATACGAGTTTTAATCAGTGATACGAGAAAGGAAACCCTCCTTCAAAAGTGAATGAATATAGCTATGAGACGATATTAACCAGTGATTCAAGAAAACTTTCCTTGGAGGAGTGACCATGGTTATCAGACGGTTTCAACGGCTGATTCGAGAAAGGAAACCTTCCCCATAGAAAAGTGACCCCTGGCTCTCAGAGAGTTGCACCTGGCTGCTGAGAGAATAATGTAGCTCCCCCAGTGCAGCAGTCCTCAACATCGGCTTCCACGCTACCACAATGGCTTTGTTCCCACACTGTTTACCTGGAGGTATAGTATATATCTCGCTCGCTCTCACTCCATACGTACTCTTACTTTCTCTCTCTCTCTCTCTCGTCATGTCACGACTATGCTTCAGAGGCAAAGATATTTTTTTATTATTTAGCAAAATTGGATTCATCATCAGTGAACTGCTTCCCTAGTGGGTGTCCTACGCCTCGGTTGATAACGCACTTAGCTCACAAACTGACAGTCAGACAGACAGACAGTCCTCGATGGCACACTGACTTTATTGGGTTATCCTGGGTGGCAAACCCTCTGGGTTAAAAATCCGATTTTTTTTATCTTATCTTAAATTTGCATAGTAGAAACAAAAACTAATTTTGTTTTCCTGTAATATTCCATTAGGCGGGATGGGGCTCATATAAGGCATTGACATGTGTCAGCCTGAGCTGGGAGGATATTGTCTAGTATCCAGCTTTGGTTCATCAGCTACAGCAGCTTCAAAGTTTCCGTTCAGCATAACTGGAGTTGCTATCACTTTGGAAGGGCGGTTTCAATTAAGTGAGTTAAGACCTTTTGACCTTGAAGGTAAATAATGAGTAGCAGCCACTGCGCAATGGCGGAGGGAGAGAAGGATGAAGACAAAATACCTAAATCCGTGTCTTCTTACTGAGCCTGATGAAGGGCTCTTGATTCTAGGAAATGGAGCTGCTCTCGTCTTTCTCGGATCTCTCCGAATTACCTCCCCAGTCACGGTATTGTGCCTTTTTTTATTATTTACCTCCCCAGTCCCCAAGCGCTGTCTGACCTTCCTAAGCTTCGTCTGGTATCACCTCACTAAGCCTGAAAGCACTCATAAACCTGGTAGCAGTACCTCACTAAGCCTGGTAGCACCTCACTAAGCCTGGTAATACATGTATCTCCAAGCTTGATAGCACCTCGCCAAGCCTGGAAGGCTAGTTGTCCATTATTGGTGCTAGCATTAATATCTTATTAATTGATGATGGATACAATGAAGGCGACTATTGATGTCGACGTGGGAGGGACACCACCTGGGTAGGGAGAAGGCTAAACTGGGAACCACCAGTGATGGGGTATAGTAGGATGACCTGACTGGTGGTGGTAACGCATGGGTCCTGCAAGTGGAGTATGATGGGATGACCTGTCTAGTGGTGGAGTAACATATGGACACTGAAGGAATGATGGGTACCTACCTGGTGGAGTGATGGGGTCCTGTATGATGGAGGAGTAATGTAAGTGTGCTGGAGGAGTGACTCGGACCTACCAGATGGAGGAGTGAAGTTTGTGGGGGCCTATCAGTTAGAGGAGTAACATATACTGGACAGGAAATGGAGACCTACCACCCACTCATTGGTGGTGAAGTAATGGGGACCTACCTGGTGGAGTGACGCATGGGTTTCTGAGGAGTGACGGGGCTGAGAATAGGTTTAATAGCTGGCGGTGAAGTGGGTGTGGTGGAGGAGGACCTGAGACACCGACGAACCATCCTTCTGGGTGCTGCTGTAGGTACCACCCTCCCGCCTCGTCTACTGACGGCTGCCCCTGTAGCCTCCAGGTTGAATCTCAGAACAACTACAGCACCTAACACATTCTAAGTAGCTCTAGATGTCACCTAAGTTGCGCTATGCGTAACGTTTGTAATGTAATTTCAATTTTTTTTTAATTATAATCCGCAGTTGTCAAGAGGATTTCTGCTAGTTCTAGCCCACCACGTGACGGTTGCAAAGGATAGATGTGCAAGTGCTTGTGAGTTAGCCACAACAAGGGCTTGGTAGGGATAGATAGGCTTTCAGAGTTTAGAGCTATAAACTATAGAACTGCAGGTGCCGTGGGTAGCACTGGTGGTGCCAAGAGCAAGGCAGCACTAGGGATCACAGACGGCAGGCGGGAACGCTCGCCAGGTGCTGCTAGTAGGCGAGCGGGAGAACATCTAAAGCGCAGCAGCAGCAGCGGCAGGAGTGTCACGCCCACGCCGCCGCCGCCGCTGCCTCCCACACCACCACAACCGCAGGCCTCCGCCACCGCCACAACCGCCGCCGCCAATACCCCCACCGCCATCGACGTCACCGCCTCCAAGTTCCTCACCATACCCGCACCATCACCACTAGCAATACCATCATCAACACTACCATCACTACCACAAAATAGCATAACTACCAGAATACAGCACCACCATTACTACTACCATCGATAGTACTAGCACCAACAACAGAATAATCAGCATCACCGCCCCCACCAGCAAATCTAGCAGCAACAACGGCAGCATCAGCAAAACCAGTAGCACCAGCACCAGTTCCGGCAAAAGCAGCAAAAACACCAACAGCAACAACAGAAGCACCAGTAGCAGCAGCAGCAGCATAAGCACCGGTAGTATTGTTGCTACTGGTGCTTTTTCTGCTCTTACTGAGCAGCAAAAGCACCAGTAGCAACAATAGCAACAGCAGCACCATCATCATCAGCAGCAGCAGGAACACCATCAGCAGCAGCAGGAACACCATCAGCAGCAGCCGGAACACCATCAACAGCAGCAGGAACACCATCATCAGCAACACCATTATCATCAGCAACACCATCAGTATCAGCATCAACATCAGCAGCAACACCAGCAGCAGCAGCAGTAGACCTGCGCCTGTAGCCTCGTGGGAGGTGGTGTTCCCTACACCACAGAGCCACTATCTCACTGCCTCAGATCAATAGGCCACTCCACACACTCACTTCCACACCCTCTCATCAAGATTGCAAACATCACCCTAAGACACATGCATAACTCCTTTGAAAATCTTACCACGATTTTACGTCCCTTCAAGTCGAATTATTAAGACCTAATGGCAGTGTATTGTAATACAATCAAGATTTGGAATTTTCAATGTCACGCTGACCAATCTCCAAGATTTTGGAATTTTATTTTACATGAAAATCTTAAAGAATAATAGGTGTTACAATATCAGAATTCATAAAATTTTCTAAGTAAAGACAAATTAGCGTGTTTTTTTTTTTTTTTTTTTTTACATTTCTCTTCCTCTCTTTCTCTGTCGTGCGTGTCCTCCACGACCCGTCCTTCTTATTTCCCCAACTCATAGCCGTAAAGTCTTTTGTGACAAAATATATTTTAAAATGGATTATACGCCATACTGAAGCACGATTACCATTGCTTATGACTTCCAGTGGCGGATAAATGTTTTTATTAGTTTAGCCTAAAAGTTATCCCACTTTCGTAGAAGTTAGTTTAATAAAGATGACTCAGGTCAGACATAAACGTGAGGAACCCTATTTAAACTTTAACTAATAAAGATTGAGTTGTCGGCACTTAGTCTGTAACTCTTGTAGACACGCAACTCTCTTGGAAGATTGTTATCTAAATCTTAGACGTTGACAGGAAACACTTATAACTTTGTATTTACAAAAATGACAGAATGGAGGGCGGTGTGTTGATCTCCGGAACTATTACTTATGTGACTTCTTATGATTTTACTGGGTTTGTGTATAATTTGTAAGGAAAAGACTGAGTAATATGGCGATATGTAAAATTATAAAGGCTAATATTCTGTTAAGAAATACGTCTATCACTAATAATCTGTAGTGAAGAAAATAGTTTGGCTATTGAAGGTGGGAGGTCATTTATGAATGAAAGATAAGGAGCAGCCTGGTGTGTTTTGTAACATCGAGGCAGAGCCACGGAGGTCTGAGTGAGCCTAGATTTACTAATCTGAGGGGTGCTTTATTTTGGCCCCCTGCTGTTAGGAGCAATAGCGGATAGAAACATTCCTTGGAGTACTGCAACTGGCCGGGGATTGAAGATTAACCGATACGGGCCCGGGAGAAGAGTAAGAAATATCAAGCAGTAAGGTTAGATGTTGATAGAATCATCCGGGTACTATGGGAGGAAGTTGTAAGAACTGGGAAGCTATAATTTGTGTGTGTGTGTGTGTGTGTGTGTGTGTGTGTGTGTGTGTGTGTGTAGAAAATATAACATGTAGTTTACGAAGAAAATTCTCTCTGTAATGGTATAGTGAAAATTTGGACTTATTTTGTGCAATTTGGAGCGGAGATTGTAATTATTTTTTATGATCCTTGTTTTTTATAGCGCTTCGTTCTGATTGTAATAATAATATAGTAGGTATCCGTACCTTTCATGTTTAAGGTTTTGTAGAATTAAGAGTTAGAATAAGACTTAAAGAAAATCGTACTCTCCTAACATTTTTTATTTGGGCGGAGGGATGGGGTAGGGGAGAAGAGGGAATATTTTTGTGCATGTCATAGTCTAACTTTTTATAGGGTCAGCCTTATGAACATTCATTACGAAACACTCAAACTGTTACCTGTCTTTATTCCTTCGACGAGTGAATCAGAAGAGATATGAGGAACACCGAAGTTGGTGGATGATTAATGATGTATCAAAACTCGTGTTGCTTAAAGAAATATCCTAATTGGGGTTAATATGCTCAGGTAAGCCCATTCAAACCCCTGCACAGAAGCCCTCCAAACTTTCCTCAGCAGTGGTGAACATCCCTCCAGATGGATTGTAAAAACTGGAACCGACCTCCGCATGAATCAGATACATGATCTATGATACATGATCTATGTGCATCCAACAAAATAAGCCGACTCTTGGATGTCACTACCGCCCGGCTCCGGCTGGGTTACAAGTATCTTTGGCAGGTTAAATCACCACCACCAGATGTAGACCAAACGAAATGCAAACTTTGCCAGATGGACTATTGTCTCTCACATTATCAATGTCCTTGATAATGTGAGAGAAATCACGAAAGCACTTGGAATTTCCCTATTTTTTCACAGTAGTTGTTTTCCATGTGTGTGTTGTGTGTGTGTACTCACATAATTGTGGTTGCAGGGGTCAAGTCATAGCTCAGGTGTGTGTGTGTGTGTGTACTCAACTATATGTGGTTGCATGAGTCGATTCACAGCTCCTGGTCCCGCCTCTTCGTGGTCGCTACTATGTCCACTGTCTCCCAGCTCCAAGAGCCTTATTATCGCACCTCTTCTTAAAACTATATATGGATCTTACTTCTACTGTTTCACTCTCCAGATTGTTCCACTTCCTTACAACTCTAAGGTTGAAGAAATACTTCCTAACATCCCTATGACTCATCTGAGTGTGTGTGTGTGTGTGTCATAAATCAAGAGCGATTGACTATCAAATATTTGGAGAGGGGTGCATCAATGCATCACTGCACTGATTAATTAGTAATTGTAATTTTTCCAGACCGGTAGATTTAGGATCACGGTAGAAATGATAAGTTGAGAGGCGGGAAACAGGTACACGGAGGCACATCTGGTAATTAAAAACGCAGTTGAGTCATAGGGATGTCAGGAAGTATTTCTACAGTTTCAGGATGGTCAGGAAGTAGAATCACTACGACGAAAAAGTGGTGGAAGCAGAGGGGGGGGGGCTGAAGGGGCGGTGGCCCCCGGGGATCCAAATGGGGAGAGCATCCAATTAGAGGGAAATAAGATAGTGATTTTGAAATGTCAGCGGTGATAAATCAATTTTTGGAGGCTCACCACATTACAGAGGCAGTGGTTAGCCCTTTATTCCTTGAACATGGTGTACCCCCTTTCTGTCCAGAGAAAGCGGTGCCCCCCAATTGAAGATGAACAAGAAAGAAATTAAAAAAGGAATGATGATATTAAGACACATGTGCAACATCTGGGTATCTTTATTGTAGACGTTTCGCCATCCAGTGGCTTTATCAATACAAATTCCAGGACATAACTTGAAGACAGTAGAACTATGTACAGAAGATGAGGTAATCAGTCCCTCAACCTAGGAGTAGGTGCGAAGAGCACCGTAGTCGTGGAGATTCTGAAGCAGAAGCAAGGCGCCTGACGCTTATATACTAACGTCAGGTGGAAATGGGACGGGTAGCAGACGAGGGCATAGTCACTGGTAGGCGGGATTCCCCAGTGGAAGTAGGTCTTACCCAAAGAGATGGGTTGGTTGTAGTAGTAGTCGTCGTAGTCGTGAAGGTTATGTACATGTCCTCAGAATCAAGAAAAGGAATGTTCAGATTTTGCAAATTATTATGGTAATGATGTAGCAGCCATTCAGTTATACGACGAAATTATTGATTTTGTGATGTTCCTTCGAGCTGGAGGGAATAGAATTCCCCCTGATGGTAAAGATGCTGTGGAGTCTTTATTGAAATAAAGGAGGGATGTCTTTCCCACGCTGTCTCATACACATTACTGCTTACAATCACATTTTCAGTCGTAAGTTGTGAAAGGTCATTTTCAAAACTGAAATGAATAAAAAACATATCTGAGGTCTTGAATGTCAAAGGAGCGACTGACCAACATGGCATTAATAAGCACTGAAGAAGAATTTCTCACAGCTGATGTAAAAAGTGAAGTAATTCAAGTGTTTGCTGACAGTCCATTTATCATCATTCCATCATGCAGGAGGAGCCACATGTCTATGGTGCATCCAACAAGATAAGCAGACTCTTGGATGTCACTACTGCCCGGCTCCGGCTGGGTTACAAGTATCTATGGCAGGTTAAATCACCACCACCAGATGTAGACCAAACGAAATGTAAACTTTGCCAGATGGACTATTGTCACACCTTGCGTCATTATGTACTGGAGTGTGATCAAATTAATGAAGTTAGAAACAACTCACTCAGAAATGTTCAAGAAATGGCAAAGTATTTTATCCACAGTGGTATATTACAGACCATTCTGGAGAAATACCCTGACTTTGCTAGCTGTAAATAATGCATTACCATGTGTGTGTGTGTGTGTGTGTGTGTGTGTGTGTGTGTGTGTGTGTGTGTGTGTGTGTGTGTGTGTGTGTGTGTGGATGTGTGTGTTGTGTGGGTGGGTGGGTGTGTGTGTGGGTGGGTGGGCGTGTTGTGTGGGTGTGTGTGTGTGTGTGTGTGTGTGTGTGTGTGTGTGTGTGTGTGTGTGTGTGTGTGTTGTGTGTGTGTGTGTGTGGGTGGGTGGGTGGGTGGTGGTGTGTGTGTGTGGGTGGTGTGTGTGGGTGTGGTGGGTGTGTGGGTGTGTTGGTGTGTGTGTGGGTGTGTGTGTGGGTGTGTGTGTGGGTGTGTGTGAGGGTGTATGTGTGGGTGTGGGTGTGTGGGTGTGGGTGTGTGTGTGTGTGTGTGTGTGGGTGTGCGTCCTTGTGTGTATGCATATATTTGTACGCTCGTGTGCACATGTCCGTGCGTGCGCCCTCGTGTGTGTATGTGTGTGCGCGCGCGCTAGTGTGTGTGTATGACCCACTTAATATTTGTATTTATAACTCATTACAGTTGTGACCACGTGTGGACGTATCAGTGGTTCATTACTTTGTAATTTGTTCATGACTGTAACCATGTATAGGAGTGAGGCTGATTCATTACCTTTGTAACTTGCCATGATTGTGACCAGATCTACCTGGAGTTCATTACCTTTGTAACTTGCTCAGCTATCATAACTTTGGGGTCCAGTCACTGGACCCATTATGTACCTTTGTAATCTTTTGACTACCGCCCACAGGATGGGTATGGGGTGCATAATAAAGATATTAAACTAAACTGTGTGTGTACTCACCTAGTTGAGGTTGCGAGGTTGTGTGTGTGTGTGTGTGTCTGTGTCTGTGTGTGTACTCACCTATTTGTGGTTGCGTGTGTGTGTGTGTGTGTGTGTGTTTTGTGTGTGTGTGTGTGTGTGTGTGTGTGTGTGTGTGTGTTTTGTGTGTGTGTGTGTGTGTGTGTGTGTGTGTGTGTGAGTGTGTTAGTTACCATTTTGTCCTAGGCACATGTCGATTAGACACTAGGCCTGTTGTACATGCGTGCTTGTATGTGTGCATGTGTGTGCATGTGTGTGCATGTGTGTGGTGTGTGTGTGTGTGTGTGTGTGTGTGTGTGTGTGTGTGTGTGTGTTTTGTGTGTGTGTGTGTGTGTGTGTATGTATGTATGTATGTATGTGTGTGTGTATGTATGTATGTATGTATGTGTGTGTGTGTGTGTGTGTGTGTGTGTGTGTGTGTGTGTGTGTGTGTGTGTGTACTCACCTATTTGTACTCACCTATTTGTGGTTGCAGGGGTCGAGTCATAGCTCCTGGCCCCGCCTCTTCACTGATTGCTACTAGGTCCTCTCTCTCCCTGCTCCATGAGCTTTATCATACCTCGCCTTAAAACTATGCATGGTTCCCGCCTCCACTACTTCACTTTCTAGGCTATTCCACTTCTTGACTACTCTATGACTGAAGAAATACTTCCTAACATCCCTTTGATTCATCTGAGTCTTCAACTTCCAATTGTGACCTCTTGTGTCTGTGTCCCTTCTCTGGAACATCCCGTCTTTGTCCACCTTGTCTATTCCGCGCAGTATTTTATATGTCGTTATCATGTCTCCCCTGACCCTCCTGTCAATCTGTAAATACCTTTGTAACTTGTCATGATTGTGACCAGACCTCCCTGGAGTTCATTACCTTTGTAAATTGTGAGTTCATTACCTTTGTAAATTGTGAGTTCATTACCTTTGTAAATTGTGAGTTCATTACCTTTGTAAATTGTGAGTTCATTACCTTTGTAAATTGTGAGTTCATTACCTCTGTAACTTGCTCAGCTATCAAAACTTTGGAGTCCAGTCCCTGGACCAATTATGTACCTCTGTAATCTTTTGACTACCGCCCACAGGATGGGTATGGGGTACATAATAAACATATTATACTACTGCTGACAGTAGGTATCATTTACCTGGAGTTTACCTGGAGAGAGTTTCGGGGGTCAACGCCCCCGCGGCCCGGTCTGTGACCAGGCCTCCTGGTGGATCACGCCTGATCAACCAGGCTGTTGCTGCGGCTGCACGCAAACCAACGTACGAGCCCAGCCCGGCTGATCAGGAACTGCCTTTAGGTGCTTGTCCAGTGCCAGCTTGAAGACTGCCAGGGGTCTGTTGGTAATCCCCCTTATGTGTGCTGGGAGGCAGTTGAACAGTCTCGGTCCCCTGACACTTATTGTATGGTCTCTTAACGTGCTAGTGACACCCCTGCTTTTCATTGGGGGATGGTGCATCGTCTGCCAAGTCTTTTGCTTTCGTAGTGAGTGATTTTCGTGTGCAAGTTCGGTACTAGTCCCTCTAGGATTTTCCAGGTGTATATAATCATGTATCTCTCCCTCCTGCGTTCCAGGGAATCAGGTTTAGAAACCTCAAGCGCTCCCAGTAATTGAGGTGTTTTATCTCCGTTATGCGCGCCGTGAAAGTTCTCTGTACATTTTCTGGTCGGCAATTTCACTGCCTTGAAGGTGCTGTTAGATTTGCAGCAATAGTCTGCCTAGTAGAACAAGTGACCTGAGAGTGTCATCATGGCTTGGCCTCGCTAGTTTTGTAGTTCTCATTATCCATCCTTCATTTTTCTAGCAGATGCGATTGTACATGTTATGGTCCTGAAGGTAGATCCTCCGACATACATCATCCCGGTCCTTTGAACGTTGGTGTTCGCCCTCTATTTGTGGCAGAATTTCGTTTTGTACTCTGATGAAGATTTAATTTCCTCATGTTTCATTATCTGAGTAATTGAAATTTCCATCGTTGAACCTTATATTGTTTTCTGCAGGACACCACTGAAAGATTTGTTGATGTCCGCCTGGAGCCATTGCAGTATCATGCATGGAAGACACTGTCAATGCTGATTCGGTGTCAATCTGCAAAGGAAGACACGGTGCTGTGGCTGACATCCTTGCTATGTGGATATGAGGATTGAGGAACAAATGGGAGTTATTACTGTGCTTTGTGGAACTGAGCTTTTCACCTTAGCTGCCTCGGAACCTTTTAAATCTGTTGACGTCTACTCTCTGTCGTTCTGTTAGTGAGTAAATTATGATCCACCCGACCAACTATTCCTTGTTTATTCTCCGTTAGCGGCGCATTTTGTGCGCTATTACGGCATTTGGGGAAAAGAACTGAATAAATTTGGTTGATTTATATTTAAATCGAATAAACTGTTTATTTCATGTTTCATTTGTTTACATATTCAAAATATCTCCCTTTCTCAGTACTAGGCCTTATACTAGAGTCTTTGGGGCATACAATCAAGGAGTTGGCCCCGGGCATCACCAGACCTCTGCACACCACTGGGTGGATTATTGTTATTATTATAATAAAAAAGAAGCGCTAAGCCACAAGGGCTATACAGCGTCCACTGGGTGGAAGCAGACTCCATTCATAATTTTAAGAGGAGGTACAATAGGACTCCGACGTTAAGAGTGAATATGGCAAGCGGCAAGCTGAGAAGCTGGGCCAGGAGCTAAGACTCGACCCCTACAACCACATATAATTGATTGTGCTAAGTAGTGGCGGCCGAGTCCATACATAGCTTTAAGAATAAATATGATAGAGGCCACGAACCAGTAATGGCCATATTAAGAGGCAAGGCGCGAACCAGTAATGGCCATATTAAGAGGAAAGGCCAGGAGCTGAGTTCGACCCATTCAACCACAAATAAGTGAGTACACACGCTGTTATTAAAGCACTTAGCACGTCTGATTATTATTCCACAGGAACACTATTTACACGGCAAGCTCAGGCAACACAGTCAGTGGAGCGTTCTTACCAGTGGGGCAAGGGAGCAACCGGATTGATCTGGAGTGAACAAAACTTTCTTGTTATCCAGTGGGTAAAACGAGTGTAGTTCTTTGTAAGGCAACACAAAGCTTCACCAGGACTCCCAGACAAGATACCAGTCATGCCTGTAGGTAAGTTGTAAGTCATAAAGTGTAAAAATGTGTATGGATGGTGGTGTCCAGTGTATGGTGACAACTTTATCTGCTTATCTATTGTTTTCTCACCGAGGCTGCTGTCTGTGTTGTACCTGAGAATAACTAACACAGTCTCCAATTAAATAAAAATAACCATTGTGTCGGGTAGTATATAAAATTCCGGTTCTTGGATTCATGAACAAATAAGTCATATATCTCGCATTCTGTGAGAGATTTGTCTTGTGAATGTGAAGCCATATATATCCATCACAGCATAGATTTGTTTTTGCTCTTATTAATCACTGGATATACCCGCATTTATAACCATGATCCATATAACATTTTATGCAGTTAGAACATTAATTATGTTCACCCATTACTGGTACCCATCACTGGTGGGTTTTCCTGATTCCCCATTACTCATCCTTGTGATAAGAATGCTAGTCTAGCCAAATACATAAATCAATGTAGCCACGTAATGTACATTAATTTTTATAATAAACAAAATGCATTAGATAAAACAATCTTGTTCTAACCTTGTAAAATAATCATACAGATCAGGGTAGCAACACAATGTGGCGTTTCTAATTTTGGTAATGTTTTCACTGTATATGGATGCGCTTTCATTATATTCGTGGGGTAAGTTGCACAGCTCCTAGGGAATGGGTAATGATCAGTTTTGATCCACGGAAGAGGAGAATAGCATCAGTTATTTGGATGAAGAGCCCTTTAAGAGCATGTTGAGACACCTACTCTGGAGTGCAAATGTGGTGCGTCAAGATGCAAAATGCGCGGGAAAGCCTAGTACATTATTGAACAGGTCACTGCTGCATCACTGAAAATATCTTGTTTTGCCACTATATTGTATGTAAGATTAATTTAAGCCTCATACATAATTTTAAACTTTTACAGTGATTTTATATAGTAAATTGTACACGATTTAATCTACGAAAGCTCAATGATATCAATAGTGTGATTTATTTCTATTGGAGTTCTTGTGTTATATTGTTTTATTTTTAAAACGGGTATAAATAGATCAAATAAACCGATTGTGAATATTTTACCAATAAAAGAAATCAATGGCCTCATTTCTGCAACTTCATTCTTATATCAAACACCTGTCATTGCTCCTCAGGATTCATCAGTGCTCTAGTTTTATAAATTGCGAAAGAACAAATAATTTTCTTTAAATGATGCAATTCTAGAAGCTAGATGGCGATTCTAGAAGCTAAATGAAGTAGAAGTGTAAGAAATAAACTATCTGGCTAATGTCACATGATCCTCCTAAGCGAGAACATTGCCTTTTTACATTATAAATTTTGACAGTATTTTTTATATTGCATATTTTTACTTGCCAAATAATTTGCGATTGAAATATCAAATTTGTATAAGTATTATAAGAATATTCTAAGAGTAATAATAGTTTTGACAATATAATGTGTGTAAATAAAACAAATTCTGGATACATCTAGCATTTATTCTCTGCTGCAATCATGACGTCACAAAGCGGGAAGTTCAAGTCGAGATAAATTACCCGATTTTATGGTAATACAATACTATTTTAGAATTAATCGCGCTCGTTTATGAGCTGCCAAGTACCTTGATGTATAAGAGACGGAGTAATATGCTATATATGAGGTTTAAAGTAAGAAATACAGGTCAGCACGTGGAGGTTCAAAGACGGCAGCTGACCAATCAGCGGACGACTGTGGTGAGCCTTGCTGGGCCGCCACCTCAACTCATTGACGGGATTCTGGTCCGTACAGCTCTCACAAGTAAGTCTCATATATCCCTCTATAACCGTGACATCTGCCTCTGGGCGCCTACTCTACCACCATATTTTCTAGTAAATATCCCGAGCTCTATAAAGGTGAGGTTTTTTATTGGTTATTGTTTATACTTTGCTAGATAATGCTACACGAAAGATAGACGTGAATGTGAAAATCCCGTCAAACAAAGAAGATGGCGTTTGGCGCTATGTGCAGTCTAAGTTTTAAGTTTCGTTGCTCAAATAGAAGTACAACTAACAAAATTGTTATATATTAGGGAAAGTAAGAGGAGGAGAAGATTAATACTGGTGTACAAACATTGTGCAATTAATTGACTTTGTAAAAAACTCGCAGTTGTTACCTGCCACACCCTATAGTCGTCGTTTATGGCTTTTATTAATGTTTTGTGTGGCACACTGTGATACCAGGTAATGAGATCTTTAGAGTGCTATATCCTAATTTCTTTAGTGTACGGCCAACTTTGCGTTATAAATGGTAAATTTAATAACTCTGGAAACCACCTGACAGCTGTGTGGTTACGGTGAGCAACATATATTCACATTTATACCGTATTTTAAATTTGCAGCCTCGTAATATATATTAACCCTCGTATGTCATACAGGGAGTATTGTAGGTTCAGAGCAGCAGTTAGCTGCCATCCCTAATTTTCCCAAGTTTTCCGTTATTTACTGCATAATATTCTTCAATGTATGCATTATTATAAATGTAGTGAGAAATGTTGTAACCTATGCTGATCATAGTCAAATAAGCAAGTACTTCCCTTGTTCTGGATTTAGTTGTGTGGATGTTTGCTAGGGTCTCCAGTGACATGATGCTGTTTTGTGGGGCATTTGCCAATTCGGCATCCTGATTATAATGCATTTCTAGAAGACCCTCTTCCTCTTAGAAAGGTCAAGACTTCTAGCAGGTGACTGGTCGACTGGGCTTAGGGTGTGGGTTTATTTGATATGACTTTGGGATTGATAGGCTATGGAGCTGACCACGTCAAACTTGATTGCCTCAATTTTCCCCTAGGCTGTAAGAATGAAGGACCTCAGTGAGTTATCTTAAGTAATTTACACAATGATTATTGTGCTTGTGCCTAATTTAATTTACTAAGTGTGACTTGTGTATTTACCTGGAGAGGGTTTCGGGGGTCAACTCCCCTGCGGCGCGGTGTGACACCAGGCCTCATGGGGGATCAGGGTCTGATCAACCAGGCTGTTACTGCTGGCTACACGCAAGCTGATGTACGAACCACAGCCTGGATGGTCAGGTACTGACTTTAGGTGCCTGTCCAGTGCCTTCTTGAAGACAGCCAGGGGTCTATTGGTAATCTCCCGTATGTATTCTGGGAGGCAGTTGAACAGCCTTGGGCCCCGGACACTCGTGTTCTGTGTGTACTCGTGGCGCCCTTGCTTTTCATCGGGGGAATGTTGCATCTCCTGAGTCTTTTGCTTTCATATGGAGTGATTTTTGTGTGCAGGTTTGGTACCAATCCCTCCAGGACCTTCCAAGTGTACATTATCATGTATATCTCTCGCCTGCATTCGAGGTAATACAGATAAAGGACCTCCAACCATTCCCAGTAGTTTAGGTGCCTTATCTCACTTGTGTGTGGCGTGAAAGTTCGTGGCACATTTTTCCAGAGTACTTGATTTATTAGGCTTTTAAGAATAGTGTGGTAGTATGTTTGCTTGTGTTTGGAAAGTGCATATTATGGCCTGAGTTGGGAAACCCTTAAGAAAAAGCTTTCCAACCACTTTCAATAGTATGTTGACCTACTTTAATACCAATGTTTCTCGGACGTTAGTCATAAGTTGTATCTATTGGTTATGTTCTGGATTGCCAAATAAGAGGTTGTAAGTCAGCTGTATCTGCATAAAGGAATATTTACATATAGCACAAATTATAAATTAAGATATTATGATGGTGTAGCATTTCTATATAATTTCTTATGCAATGCAAGACATTAATAATACTGGAACTTGGTCAACAAGTTTTGTAAAATGGGCAACTGATATGAAGATTTAAGAGTGAAGTTTAAAGAATTATTCGTATGGCAGAGGAAGGCGAGAAGTTTTGAGTGCATAGAGCAGGCTTGGACATCAAACAGGATGATGCCTTGCAATTTGAGTAAAATAAAATTATGAAGGGATTTAGGGGAACAGGTAAGCTGGACTAGTCCTAGAGGTGAAAAGTACAGTGCCTGCATTCTGGAAAAGGTTTAGCTGAGCTGTGATGTCAACATGCTTGGGAAATACTTGAATAAACAACTGAAAAATGTTTCTTTTTTCTGGTTGCCCTACCTCCGTGGGAGATTGCAGGCAAATGTATCAACTGTTGATATGAATCTGGCTCTACCCCTGTTAATCCTTTTGGGGCATAGTTACTAGGATTTTTATGTATCCATGTGCTCTTGCACTACCTTGTTTGATATGCTGGCATAGTCCTGGCCCAAGTCTTGTCCATGAGGTGACCTGGCAATTGCACTACCATCCAGGATGAATATGGGGGTACATAATAAACTAGCTGTTTCGGCAGCAAAATCTAAGTTTAATCTGCACGTGTATGTAAATAAAGGGGATATAAATGTGTTAAAAATATCTAACCAACACAGGACTTGAAGCAGTGGGTTCAAGTTGGAAAAATTTAGATTTAGAAAGCAAATAGCTATGAAAGCACTAGTGTGCTAATAGTTGTTAATGAGGGGAACAAATTTCCAAGTAGTGTCATTAAATGAACCTTGAACCTTTAAAATTGTGCATGCCCATGAGTACACCTGTAGCAAACTATTTTCCTGACAGGGAAGACTGCCTTTTACCATACAAAAAAAATTATTACATTTTTTCTCGATTTAGTGACTGTCCTGACAACTCGTTGGACCAAAATTCGATAGAGAACGTGGCATAGATGTGTCCCCTAAAGCCAAAATCTTCAGTGCCATTAAGCAGGTGTGGGAGGGTATTGACTTGTCTGCTTTAAAAGTTATCAGTGCCTAGGAGACTTGATTCTTTCACTGTTGGGGACCTCTCGAGTTACCTGATGTTAAGTGATGACAATGTCAGGAATTTACACCAAAATGGTTGCGAATCTTTCTGAATGAAATGCCAAAAAATGCGAAATGTGATGAAAAATGTGTAATTATGTTGGCACAAAGTGGCTGTCTCGGAGCAATTTATGCATTGGCGACTTCACTCTTAATTCCATGTTAAGTCGCTTCCCTTGCTAAATTCTACCAAATTCTTAGTTGTTCATTTGTATGCCTTCTAATATATTGAGTACAAGAACCCACCCATTATCTGTCAGAACTATATAACATACACATGTTGGTAATATGGCCAATTTTATATAAAATTACAAAAAACTCCCACTTAAAAATAGTCCAAAATAAACATTGTAGACATTCCAGGTACTGAAACATTTCCTGTTCATTACTAGTGTCCCAAGTCTATCCTATATTATACTTGCCCTTAATTTTTAATTTCTTACAAAACAGTTTTACCCTATTTCTGTCATAATATAACCAAGAATGACTAGTCAGTTTAGTTTAGGGCATCCCAGTAATTGAAGCAGATCTTGTAAAAACCCATAAAACAGACCAGGGGGTTGTAGGGGGTTTTGTCCATGAAAAACCATCCAAAGTAATGCCTTTAACAAGATATTACAAGGGCTGGTTTCTTTTTCTGTCTCATAAACACTCTAGATAACAGGGATATCTTGCTACTCTTACTTACACTTTGGTCACACTTCACAGACACGCACATGCATATATATATATATATACATACATCTAGGTTTTTCTCCTTTTTCTAAATAGCTCTTGTTCTTCTTTATTTCTTCTATTGTCCATGGGGAAGTGGAAAAGAATCTTTCCTCCATAAGCCATGCGTGTCGTATGAGGCGACTAAAATGCCGGGAGCAATGGGCTAGTAACCCCTTCTCCTGTACACATTTTACTAAAAAAGAGAAGAAGAAAAACTATAAAACTGGGATGCTTGAATGTGCGTGGATGTAGTGCGGATGACAAGAAACAGATGATTGCTGATGTTATGAATGAAAAGAAGTTGGATGTCCTGGCCCTAAGCGAAACAAAGCTGAAGGGGGTAGGGGAGTTTCGGTGGGGGGAAATAAATGGGATTAAATCTGGAGTATCTGAGAGAGTTAGAGCAAAGGAAGAGGTAGCAGTAATGTTGAAGGATCAGTTATGGAAGGAGAAAAGAGAATATGAATGTGTAAATTCAAGAATTATGTGGATTAAAGTAAAGGTTGGATGTGAAAAGTGGGTCATAATAAGCATGTATGCACCTGGAGAAGAGAGGAATGTGGAGGAGAGAGAGATTTTGGGAGATGTTAAGTGAATGTATAGGAGCCTTTGAACCAAGTGAGAGGGTAATTGTGCTAGGGGACCTGAATGCTAAAGTAGGAGAAACTTTTAGAGAGGGTGTGGTAGGTAAGTTTGGGGTGCCAGGTGTAAATGATAATGGGAGCCCTTTGATTGAACTTTGTATAGAAAGGGGTTTAGTTATAGGTAATACATATTTTAAGAAAAAGAGGATAAATAAGTATACAAGATATGATGTAGGGCGAAATGACAGTAGTTTGTTGGATTATGTATTGGTAGATAAAAGACTGTTGAGTAGACTTCAGGATGTACATGTTTATAGAGGGGCCACAGATATATCAGATCACTTTCTAGTTGTAGCTACACTGAGAGTAAAAGGTAGATGGGATACAAGGAGAATAGAAGCATCAGGGAAGAGAGAGGTGAAGGTTTATAAACTAAAAGAGGAGGCAGTTAGGGTAAGATATAAACAGCTATTGGAGGATAGATGGGCTAATGAGAGCATAGGCAATGGGGTCGAAGAGGTATGGGGTAGGTTTAAAAATGTAGTGTTGGAATGTTCAGCAGAAGTTTGTGGTTACAGGAAGGTGGGTGTGGGAGGGAAGAGGAGCGATTGGTGGAATGATATATGAGAAGTTTTTACAAAGTAGAAGTGATGCAA